GATGACAGAACTGTGACATATCGGTTGGAGGGAAGGAGGAGGAGGATATGAGGGCAAAACTCGAAAAAAAAATGAGCATGGATGCTTGAGTTGCCCACAACACTGAAAAGCGAGATTTTAGATGGCTCACTTTCAAGTGCAGTCCACCTTAGCCCATATTCCTTAGCCAGTTTTACGGGTCGGAATTGGGTATATGGTCCTCTAAACCAGGTAGGGGAATAGTAAATTCCCGCCCAGGTGATGCAAGTAGCTCTATGCTAATATTCTTGAGTCCTAACAGTAACCTTAAACCTAATTCTAGTGCCGAATGTAATTAGAATCTTCATTCTCCTGGGATTTAGCGCAAAGCCATCTGTATTACAAGCGCTTCCTGTTCCCATGTCTTATCGCGGCGGGGACGGGGGGGGGGAAGAGCAAAGAGCAATCTCTACCAGAGACTGAGAAATGCGCTTTATTTGGAAGGTGAACATCCACAATTTTCAGCGAAACTTTGGCTCCATTCACTAAAACCAGGGGATAAGTTAATAAAATATTCAAAATCTAGAGGTTTACACGAAATCCACATCTGCTATAGAGACAGGTCTGATCTCAACCTCTGGTTTTCAGTTTCCTTACACACATGAGGTAGCGTGCTAGAAATGGGAGTACAGAGTGTCCTGATATGTACATGTACGGCAGGACATAGTTCGGGAAGACTTCGAAGCCATTAATTCAGAGTGCAGTGGATGAGCAAGAATGCGATCAGCATAACAAACACCGGCAGTTGAAGAGAGAGTATTCGGAGGATACTTTTAAAAATCAATAGGTATTTTTTAATCAAGGCTGGAAAAATAACCGGAGAGCAGTAAAGAGAGAATGAGAATTTTACTCCTACTAATTCGCCGGCAGATCGGGAAATCTTTGCCGACGAAAAGGTGGAAGGTAAATCGACAAAATTGATTTGTAGGGCCCCTCTAGATATCTATCGCCCCCCGCCCAACTGCTTAACGTAGTTCATGGTCAAACATCTAATTCTTGCCTAGTGAACGTAAATTAATATGTAATCGCGGCGGGAAGTGATCAAAAATAGAATAAAATTCGATCGACATAAACTTCTGTTGCGCAGGATACGAATGCTAATCGAAAGAAATTCGACACTACGTGGGCAGAATTTAACGAAAATGGAAACTCGTCTTCTTATTGGTGGAATTTACCGAAAAAAATTTAAAGTCAGGCTACCGAACATTTAAAAGTAGTTTTTTTATCATAAGTCGACGGGATTTTTGGGGCATCCAAAATCAATCTTGCCGGTAAATCAAACCTACCAAAAGGTGCGAACCGGTGTTCGATTTGTGGAGGCAATCGTCGATGTGTTCCCAGCACCGTTGGCCGCCGTCGTCGCCGATGCGGCCGTTCGAGGGTTGAGCAATGCGAGGATATCATTGGCGATGAGTTTTCGGTGGGCATCGTAGCGCGAGTAGATGGCAGCAATCAGACCCAGGGTGGAGCGTTGAAGTTGCAGGCGCCATTGGTTACTGGCGTAGTACTCCAGCTGGTCCACGTGAAGCTTCTTCGCGCGCGCAGATAGCCGACGACAAACCTCCTCCTCACCCTCGCCATCGTCATCAGCGGAGTCACAGTCCGCATCCAAG